TCTAATAATGTTGCCTAGGATAATGATTAAAAATAGAATTTGGATAGGCACACTAAAGGTATAAATCAGTTTCATAATTAGATATACCCAAAACAAATTAACTGTTTGAATAAAATCTGACAAAATATTTTTGCACATACATATACTTATTCGCATGATATGTAACTACTTGTAAGTGTGTCTATGACATATAATGGAGGATACCAAATACAATTAGCGTGGTGCCAAAAAAAATTTAAATTTCTTTCGCATTTGGCAGATTTATCATATTCCAAACTCTAACCCAAAAATGTTATACATAAATAAAAGATTAAATTTTTCGCTTTGTATTATTTTTAAATAAAGTTTTCGAAATGTTTTTACCAATAATTTGGTTTCAGAATACTCTCCATCAAATACAATTTATGTACATACCTAAATATTCATATGTACAATATATTCATATTTCGATGTTACTATTACCCTTATAGCTCTATGCTCTAAACATGTCACTAAACTAACTGTTAAATTTTACGGAACAACCAAAAAATTCAACGCATTATCCCAATAGAAATCTCAATGACGCAAGTATTCAGTAAACGAAGATTGAACCGAAGAAGCTATATCAGGGAGGTAGACGATACGATTATGCATATCCTCAGAGCGCAAAGAGAGCAAACATCATCATGAATAGCAGCAAATAGTACTCTGTAAGAAAGTGTGAGCAAAACAAAAGTCAGATAAATCACAACAACTAAAATGCATAGTATAATCACAAAAACAAAACACAGAGTCGTTCGGCATTTTTGAGCAGGGTTGAGTTTCTATTAAAGCAATAAGGAAAGGAACGTAATATTAACATCGGTAAGTTGCCAGTTGGCCAGACTGAAAAGCCGCTGTCCAGCGAAGACGCTAAATGTGTTCTTGCCATTTCAATGCAAATGAATACGTACATAGGTACATACATGTTTACTTCTACAAATCTACCTATTTGTAAATTTAGATGAATCCATTGCATATACTTAGACGCATAAATAAATATGTACATATGCACATATGCATTGGTATGATCCATATAAACTCTTCAAGTGAGCATATACGACTAGAGAAATTTAAACCAAATATGAAATTTATACATATCCATAAACAGGAATATTATAGCGAAGCAGTATTTGTATAAACATGTGATTGACAGGTAGATATCCTTGCATATAACAGCAAAAGAAACTTCTTAGTGGGAAATGTATTTTTTCTTGGCCGTATACATAAGTTCTTATATGTATGTATGTATATGCAAATCTAACGCATGTACATATGTATGTATAAGTAGGCAGATGTAAGTAATCCAAAAATGAGAACCAAATTTGATATGAATGTGAACGAAAACAACAACAATATGGAAATAAACGTACATACGAACTTAAATTAGCACATAGATAGGTATGTACTTATATAGTATTGTATGATCGTTTTAACTGATTCGAGAAAAATGTGATAAAGTAATTGTTAAAATTTATTGAAAAATGGGGATTTTAGAAGTATTGTAGTATAAAAACGATAGATATTACTACTTATATACATATGTATGTACATATACACTTACATATATAAGTACATAAATAAATCTATTAACCTATTTATATTATTTTAACATAAATCCATGTATACATTTAAATATATGCGTTTTTAAATATACATAGAGGTAATATACCTAACATTGTAATCATATGAAAATGTACACATACATACCTGGGGTAATTTCTATATATTTGAAACAGCTCGGATTAGCATAAAAATATTTATTGGATTTAATCAAAACAGTAAAAGCGAATGAAGACATGTTTGATTGGCATTCTTTTAAAATGTAAAACTGTGCTAATTTTTCTTGCAGGGTTCTTGTATATACCCAGTTGTGCAGTATGTATAAGTATTCCACATTCGGTCGTTGATGTAGAAGCCATCGTCTTGGTCTTTGGTATTTTTTTCAATCTCGTCCGCCTTTGTCTTTTATATTCATTTCCATTATGCTTTTGAGTCCTTTCCTGATTTTCACCCGTTTTGGTCAAGTCATGTGTGCCATATACATGCATGCACGAGTATCTACATATATTCATTAACAATAGAACGCTCAATTATGCGTATACATTTGCATGCCCGGTTGGGAGAATGTATAAATATGTACATATACATACGTACATTAACTTTACTGTTGCGTGCAAGCTCACAAACGAAAAGCTGAACCACGTCTTCCTATTAAAACACACACCCCCTGTTCCTTTCTGACCAAACACGAGTTCAACGTAAAAACGCATTCGTATATCGCACCATGTTCAGTTGTTAATCTCATCATACTACAGTACTTGTCTCTAGGCAAAGCCGCGTTTACCCATAGGATAGACGTGCGACGTAGACACTAGCATACATACATATATATCATCTACAAAAGTATCAAAATACATCTTATACTTTCTAAATAGGCGCATACTACATGTATTGATCCATATATTCAACCTACCAACCGCTCAGGATGGCCAAGCTAGCCTAAGCAAGAAATAGGCCTGATGTTCATTCATATGTATAAACATATATACCTACATATATTTAAGCACATGTACCCGTAGGTACTTACGTACATATGTATGTGTCCATAGCGTCCGACAGCATAGTAGTCGCAGTCTCCGTCGAAGTCAAAGTAGCAGCAGTTATAGCAATCGTCTTCTATCTCCTCGCAGCCGTCGTTGACGCCACAATGGTTAAGAAGGAAGAAGGATGCAAAGGATAGCGTAGCCGAGTGTCAGAATTGTGACAATGACCACCACTTTGCCAATATGAGTTTATATTCATTTATACATACATACACATCTATATGTATGTTGAAAAGAAGGTATTGAGGCATAACTTGACGTACATAAATATGTATATACATACATAGGTGCACACAATTCCATGTATACTCACACCTTATAAGGGTATGTGTGATTGCGAATATCTACATATGTACATATGTCGTTTGTGCGAGTGTATGGTTGACAGGACACAACAGCGAAATTGTGCCCGTGTAGACGCGCAATTGTCCGATACGGTCAGCGGATTACCTTCTTTACCGTCTTCTTCTTGCTGATTGTCAGCTGGCTACAACGTTGCTATCTTTGTCGCTCGTTTACGTTACGCGTCGCTTGCCTATTAATCATTACATTTTTGGCTGTCACTGAAATCGGTGGTGTGGTTTCCCTTTAGCTTGGTTCAGCTTGGTCAAGAGCGCGCGCAACTGACCAAATGCCCAAAACAAGAAAGGAAAGACTACAAATACGCGCATAAACACATACACTTGAATAAGTTCTGTGCATGCACACATTAGTGTACACATATTAAATACACACACAAAAATATTCGCGCATATGTACACGTGCTCATAACCATGTTGTATCCGTTAGTAGTAAATTTGAACGCACCTACACTGTCGCACAATAAGGCGGTAGTTTCTGCGACGACCGTGATGGTGGCGGTAAATTTGTGCAAATTCAAATAATTTCGCCGCTAAAATTAAACTTCGGCGCTCACTAGGTCCAGTTCAGCGACACTCGCGTTCGTAGTCGCGCTCGCGCTCATAGTTGTTGAGCCGTATTTACACTCGCGACAATTTGTCGCCTTGCCGGTACGCTGTTCATATTCGAAGGTTCGCAAAGAACCGTTGAACGGAAACACAATCACATCCTTTGGGCACGCGGACGAGACAACAGCGCCACGGTGAAGGCATAAGAAGGTGACAAAATTACGATCAATAGAAATAAATGTGCTGCTCCACGTTGCGGACATTACTATATCAATCTTTCTTAAAAACACGTGAAGTGACAAATAATAAGAAGAGAATAAAACTCAATTTCAGTGAAAGTGTGATTGTTTCTAATTTTAAAACGTATATAAGTATATGCAAATTTATGTATATGTACCATGTATATTGATGCACATCAAAGTGAAAAATCGTAAATAAAAATCGACAAATATCCAATTGTTCAATTTTGATTTAGTACCTATACTAATATATTCGCGATTATATTAAAAGTGATGTAGTGACGATATACATACCTGATTTATTAAATTGTTTGGAAAGAAAACTGTTGCACTGAAGGTGTCATTGACGACATTGCTTATGGCCTACATGTGTACATACATGCATGAGAAAAAATAATAGTTGTACGTTATTGTGTGTATATTGCGTTTTGTATTGAAGATTTTGTAACTTAGACGGAAATAAAAGGCGAGCTAATAATATATAAAAAACGGAATTGCTTTGAAGCAAAAACTCTTTCATTCTTGGAACTGTTTCAAATAAACGGTAAGTATAACATTACCATTTAATAAAAACTGAAGAAGTTTTAATGTAAGAGAAATTTTAATGTAATACAATAAGTAGAGTTTTAAATGTAATGAATGATTGCATATTAGATATTTCATTTATTAAAAAAATATTGTTAGTTTTAAAATATTTAATTAAGAGAATTATATCATAGAGTTATAGCAGAACAAAAGTGCACCCTAACCTGTACCATTTTTGGGTTCATTTTTGATGGAAGAAATAATTATACATTTATCGATATAAAATTAATTTAGTTAAATATTATTATTAATAATATTAGGTAAAAACTAATTTTTTATTACAATTTTTTTTCAATTTCAATAAAATGTAAGTAAATTAAGATATGGGAAAGCTATTATAAAAGTAGCGCGTTAACTAAAATCATTGTGAAATTAAAAAGAAAAAAACATGAAACAGTAGTAGCTGTGTAGAAAATAATATTTATTGCAATGATTACTTCTTTGACCTTTTCGGAGGGCTTGGGAAGTTACGTTCTGATTTCAACAATTAGGCATAACATCCCACACCTTAGAGGCACTTTTTTTTGCTAAATTTTGTTCTAATATTAGTTGATGATTGATTTATGAGTATATACTGTGAAATGAAAGAATCAAATTGAATTTAAAAATAAGGTATATATTATATATATGTCCCCAACTTGGTTGAAATTGGTCGAGTAGTTACTGTGATATGGAATTTCACCAAAAAATGTCTTTATCCATTATCCACTTTCCATGCAACCCCTCCAAGCTTTCCCTAATGTGAAATTTAATGCTTCTGACGTCTTTCTGTTGCGAGTTAACGCACTTTTAGTAGTTTTCAACATAACCATTATATGGCGGTTTTCCAAATTAGTTTCATAATGGCCGAGTAGGTATGAGATTTCGCCCGATATTCGGCGAAGCCAATTTAATTTTTATATTTTATTTAATTTTTATATGTATTTATCACATTTTTACATCCTGTACTACATTTTCATTAAGCTTAATGCGCCTGACACTTTAAGTGTTGCTTAAAGTTAATAGTTATCTAATTATTTGGGATTTCCAGTTATTATATAAACCAGTAATTTCTAAAAAGAACGATTTTAAATTTTAACCAAATTTGAGCAATGCTGGCTAAAAGTAAATAGTGCTTCTCAAAAATGTAATGTTTGCATTTTCTAGTTTATTAAAATAACACGCAATTGAAAAACTGTTACAGTAGGCATGGCTTGTCGACCGCAAATTTTTCTTTTCAACTAATATTGTTTTATAGAAGTAAGCAAGTAGTGAATAAATTAAAACTTATTTTACAAAAATTCTTACAAATATCATTCGAAATAGCAAGAAAAATAAAATGCATTTAACTTTGGGTTTAATTTTGAAAAGATGCTTACCTCAAAAGGAATGTACTTTCGCTATCGCTATTTATTTTTGTGTTCTTATATTTCAGTGTGCCTTACAGTGTAAAAATATTATTTAGTCAAAAATCCCTAGATGAGGTTATAGTTTTTGAAAATAAAGGTAGTACTCAACAAAAGAAAATATATACCTTTTTTTTATTAATTTTCCGTGGCCAATTTTGTTTTCATGTACCTAAACAATAATATTATATTACTTAAATAATTTTAGAAAACTTAAATTAACACTAAGATAGCAATTTTTTTTATCAAAAACCTTCAAAAACAAGATATGTATATATAACAAGTAAAGACTGGCCAAGCTCGGGTGGGTACTCTCGCAAGGATTAAAACCGTTTAAATACTTATCGATGTTGGCAAAACTTCATACTTAAAAGTGTTGCGAAAGAACTCACCATTCACTATTCGACGAAAGGGTGAAAGGATAACAATCATATTTGGTATCTTATTAACTCATATTATAGGTTGCATATTCCAAACCACATTATGTGTATGAAAACTATGAAATATCACATATATTGAGCAACATAAACGTTTTAAAGTTAGCTAGAAAGTCGAAAATCATTATATAGGGCGTATTTAGGCTAGAAGATGGTCTGTACTAATTGCGTTAACTTACGGTATATATTCCATACAGTTTTATGATTTTATTATTACCAGAACAAATACTCAATAAATTTTTTTAGAAAAGCGGCAGATTGACTGATATATATATATGGTATAAAGTCAAAAGGATGTTCGCTTTTCGTATATTGGCTATATGGGGCTAGGGCCCGATTTTATTCAATTTTGATATTATGATATTTTATTACCAGAACAAGATGCTGTATGAGTATCATTAATACCCCTATTACGGTTTTCAAATCCACCTGATTGAATTGAAGTAATGCAATTTCAGATCCACCTAACTCTTTTTTGGTATTACGTTTTTCAACTATTTTCAAAGTTTGATTGGTGTAGCCAACTTAAAAAATTAAGATTTGGCAGATAATTAAACAGCTGAAAATTTGTAAGCGAAAAAACAAAACAATTTAATTTAGTAACAAAAAGGTAAATAAATATTAAAATGCACATTAGTTTTAATTTATATTACGATGACAAAAATATTGGTGCCAAAACTGATGTGCTGCACATAAAAAGTGATCATTCCAATCCATTCGAACTTCCTAACACAAGTAAACGAAAGTTTTATTGACAATTAAATGGCTTTTAAATAATTTCAGATTCAAAAGTAGTTATCGTTTAATGAGGAATCATTATGTTTTTTACTAAATAAGATAAAGGAACGTTACTACAAACAGTGCATTTCATTGCTGCATAGTTATGAAGAATGCATTTTAAATAATTTAAATTTTGGGCTGAAACAACCTACGATATCTATAGTTGTTACAAAACCTCTTTTTAACAAGTAAGGAAGTTCCAAGTTCGGGTGTAACCGAACATTTTATACTCTCGCAATTTGCAAAGGTCAAAGCCCGGGAAATTACTTCAGGTGCTGGCAAAATTTTATATTAAAGGAAGTATTGATCCGATTCAACCAATTTTTGACACAAGGACATTCTATTATTGAGAGTTTATTTATTTATTTTATTATATGAATTTCAATTATATATCTTACACATTGACTGATATTTTCGGTAAAAATTCAACTAAAGGCACAGTTTTGTTTCGATTTAGACAAGTCACAAGGTGGCATACTTTAAACGCATTATTCACGCAAAGTGAATACAATCATTGTTGCTTGATTTGCATAGTGGAAAGGGAAAGAATCAGATGGAGTTTAAAATGGTGTTATAATATATGGGAAATAGGCGTGGTTGTAATCCGATTTCGCCCATTTACTATTTCGCATTATAACATATAAATAGGAGGAGAATTTTATGCACCAAATTTTATTGAAATCGGTTAAACAGATCCCAAGATATGGGTTTTCACCTAATAGCGGGCGGTGCCACACCGATGAAAGAAATGCAAAAAACATTTGTTCTCAGTGAATTTTGTTATTATAGCTATAGCGGTTTAGGAGATATGCACAAAATTTATTAGGGGGTGGGACAACGCCCACTTTTAAAAAAAATTTAAACTGCTGATGCAACTCCCTAATGTGATCCTGTATACCAAATAACAGTCTTGTATCTTATTGTGGAGCTTAGTTATGGCAATTTATTTGTTTTTGATTAATGGCGTTTTGTGGGCGTGGCAGCGTCCGATTACCCCCATCTGTAATAAAAACCGTCTTACGATACCAAGAAGTATGTGTACCAAGTTTCATAAAGGTATCTCAATTTCTACTCAAGTTACAGCTTGCACGGACGGACAGACGAACGGACGGACGTACAGACAGTCACCCGGATTTCATCTCGTCATTTCATCCAGATCATTTATATATACATAACCCTATATTTAACTCGATTAGTTTTAGGTGCTTCAAACGACCGTTAGGTGAACAAAAATATTATACTCTGTAGCAACAGGTTGCGAAAGTATAAAAGTTATTAACACCATATTTGTGCGCTGTGGATAAAATACCAATGACTAAATAGGAGCAAAACGCTTCAAAATTTTAATTTTGCTCAAAAAGTATACCAAGGAGTAATAGATTATATCGACTCTTTATGTTCGAAACACTTCCCACAACCAATTTTTGACACAAGACCACATTATTATCACCAAATGATTCTATCCGAATTTCAATTATATATCTCACACATTGACTGATATTTCCGTAAAAAATCAGGCATATTTCAGGCATAGCCGCTGAGGTCCACATATTCGGTATCAGTGGAATTGAACAGTTGTGGTCCGAGAGAGGGAATTTATAATTGTTTTATATGGGAAAAGGCGTGGTTGTAGTGCCATTCCAAACATTTCCACAAGGAGGCATAAAATTGTCAAGACTATACACAAAATTTGGTTGAAATTGATCAAGTAGCTTTTGAGATATAGGATTACACACAGAGGTGGGCAGTGCCACGACCATTGTGGCCATGAACCATGAAGCCATATCTATCCAACAACTAGATGTTTTAGCAAATATAAAGCCTACTGACTTTTTAAAAAAGTCTGATATTTTGACTTGAGAATTTTTGATTGAAAATTAGGGTTTTTTTCGATATTAGGTCAAAGTAAAGGAGAAAAAATAAGTATTTTAAATTTAAAAAAATACAGTGTGTTTGGGACATAAGAAGGTAAGTAAATTTTTTAAATTAATTTCGTGAAAAAAAATTTCATGTACAAGATAAAAATAAAAAATCCAAAATGGTTAATTGAATTTTTTACATAAATTTTGAGGTTATGTGATAAAAGTCTATGAACAAAAGTTATAGATCTTTTCATTACCTAAAACATTGCTGCACAACTTTTATCTTTGAACACGTAGTTTTCACTGAAATCGGGATAAACTGTTTTTAATCATTAAAAATTCACCCACACCCCTCCTCTACTTCTTCCCGACCGCAGATCTCCCGTAAATTATTTCCGCTGGGTTTCATCCGACTATGACTTTATTTGTTTTTAAAATTATCTACCCTGGTTTAATAACCTTTTATGTTATAAGATATTTCATCCTACTGAATTT